TTTATATTTAATAGTATATAAATTTTAATAATCGATTTTAGAATTAATTGACAAATATCCATTAAGAAGAGAAAATTCTCTTCACAATCAAAATATATGCAATTATAACAAACAATTAAAATATGACATAGTGGTGGGTTCAAATCTTCTTAACTCTTATTTGCAGTTTTCAATAGGCTGGTTTAATGGAAAATTCCAATTGATTTTGAAGAGTGCATTAATGGTGGGTCAGATTCAAATTTGAATTTGAGTATTACCTTAAATGTAGCAGTTAATTAAAATTAAACAAAATTGAATTTAAAAAGACAAACAATAATTATAAGGGTTATTAATGAGAGATAAAATGCAAATAGATTTTAATATTACAATTCGTGTGTATTAGTTATGAAATATTATATGATATATATTATACTTATACAATAATAGATTATATATTATTTATATTATATCATCATTTTTTTACTACATTCCAAATTGAATCAGACTCAAATCAGACCATAAGATAATTGAATTTGAATTTGAATCGTAATTTTAGAAATTCAACATATTCTCTTATCCAATTCAAATTGGTTGGGTTTCTTATCAAATCTAATTAGATATATCTTTTTACCGAATTCAATTTGATCCATTTACATATATATATATATATATATATATATATATATATATATCCAAGAGCATCATCCGATACAGACAACAAGGAACATAACGGAATGTATCCGGCCATCGCTTGCATGTATCAGCCATGTATCAGCTAATACTTTTAATACCTTGGTGTCAACTGCCAACTTTTATTTTTTTTGAATGTCAATAGGTTATAAGACGGTGTGCTTCATAACTATATTTATTAATTCAATTGCTCACGATTACAATCTTGAAAGATAGCAGAATGTAAAAAAGATGGACACATAGACCATGCATACATGTGGTTAACAGTCAAGGCATGTTTGGTCAAAATATGAGCAGCCACATTACCAGTATGTGCAACCCAATTTATTGAGCAGTGAGGGAATTTTCTAATAAAAAGTCTGCAATCTGCGATCAACATGTGAGTTTTCCAAGGAGTGTGAGAGCCAAACTCCAATGGACTTATAGTCAAATTGTAGAATCTCCCTCAATAATGATGGAAGAGAGCCCCAATTTTAAAGCAAATAAAAGGGCCGCATGAGCAGCTTTAGCTTCTAATTCTTCTGGGGAAGTTTTAGGAACTTTAATGGATCTGCCATAAATAAAAGCCCTTGAGTGATCATGGATCACAACACCAAAACCCCCATCTAACGACAATAAAACACCATCAAAGTTGATAATCCTGAGACTCCAATCTATATGCTCATCAACTTTTAGGTTCAAATATTATGCAAACCAAACTAATCTGGTCACTGAACAACAAAAAAATAGATGGTGAATGGTTTCAACAGCAGTGCCACATAAGCGACAAGTAGGGTCAATTCCAATAATATAGTTAGCCAATTGACCAGTGGTAAGAATAGCATTCGTTAAGCATTTCTAAAGAAATAATTGTACCCATAGTGGTAAATGTTTAATATGCCTAAAGCTCTTCCACATTACTGTGCCAAAAGCATAACATGCATTAGAATGGTGTGCAACATCAGATGATAAGAGATTGTATATGGAAGACGTTGTAAATTTCCCATGAGGAGTAAGTGTCCGGACCAACTTGTCATCAATCTCCTCCACATTTATTGGTAGAGGTAAGGTCTTTATGAGTTGCACTGTAGAGGGATCAAAAAACTGAGAAAGTTGTTCATGCACCCAAGATCTAGTGTGAGGGTCAATAAAATATGCAACACGTAGTATAGACATCTCATGAGGTAGAGAAATATTGGTGCTGGGAGGAGTCCAAGGTTTAGGCAACCAAGGATCAGTCAAGACATCTATAGACCAACCGTTCCCAATACACCATTTGACAACCACACTTAAGATAAGTTCTGCATTTAAGCATACTCGTCGAAATGTAAGTCCCTGTGCTTTTGGAAGAAACAGTCCAAAAATTCTTTTGTTGAAGGTATTTGGACGTCAAAAATCTCCAACATAATTTAGAGACAAGGAAAATATTGAGACGACGGAAATCTTTAAAACCCAAACCTCCTGATAATTTAGGTGTAGTAATATCAATCCACTTGTGCAAATATAAATGTTTCTTATCATCAGAAAAGCCCCACCAAAAATCGTAGGTCAAAGATGTAAGTTGCTGACAATGGGAAGATGTAAGTAGTTTAGTGCTCGTGATGTATGTAGGGAGAGCAAATACTGTACTATGAAGCAAAACTGCCTTACCCACATGATACAAACAACGGCATTTCCATCCTTTCAATCTTCATTTGACCTTTTCATGAAGACTACAACCCAAATATAGTTCATCACCCCTCATTGTTTTAATCCCAAGAAAAGATGTTAACATTTGGCGACAATGTCTATGGACATTAGAGCTAAAATAGATGGATGATTTATCATAACTAATTTGTTGACGTGACCAAGAACAAAACATGTCTAGAATTTCCTTAATTCGGCCAACTTCTTGCATAATGCTCCTTCCAAAAATTAGAACATCATCAATATACATTATGTGATTAAGCACAACTCCACCTGTCCCAAATTTAACCCCATGCAATGCCCATCTTCGAGGTCCTGTAATAATAGTTTCGATAAAACACCAGCACACAAAATAAATAGATAAGGTGAAAAAAAGACAACCTTAGCATAATCCTTCATGAGGTTGAAATGGCTGAGAGGAAATCCCATTCAGTTCATCTGCTCACTCCAATTTTTCCATGGCTTGAACACAAAATCTATTGCAAGGATTTGAGAGCTTTCTATAGAGTGGTAATTGTGAATATGGTGGATATTTTGGCCTGATGGCTTCCTAGGTGACTGAAGGTTCTAGAAGGTCCTCGCCATTCTTTTAAGTAGCATCAGGTCTTGCAGGTTTCAAGTTGGCCTAGTCGTATCAGACATGGAATATTCTTGAATGCAACATGGTCACTTTTTTTTTTTCTTATTCTACCTGGGAGGTTGTCCTTAATAGATCTGCCAAGGGGTCGATTCTGTCCCATTGTCCCAACCAAACTGAACGAACTGATTATGTTGATTCTAGTTCTTTAATTTTGTCTTGATTAATAATTGGGTCATTTTAATTTTAGCCTGTTTTGAATTGATTCAGACCTAGAACCGATTATTTTATTAAATATTAATTTTTTATAATTTTTATCATATTATTTTATGTTTAAAATAGTAAATTTGATAAATAATATATATGATCATGATAGTTAAAAATATTTCATTTATTTTTTTATAAATAATATATAAAATGATTTAGCATTTTACTATCACTTATACTAATATTATATTATCAAAATTTAAATCTTAAATTATTATTTAAATAAATATAATTTCAGTGTAGTACTCAGGCCTATTGGGTCTCGACTATTACTCTATTAGTTAGTCGGGCCTATCGGGTCTGAGTCTATGATTAGTTATTAATCGGTTTGGGACTGGGACTACCCTGTCCCGACCCAATGACACCCATAGTCCTTAATTGAGGATATTTGCCCCATATTACCTGGTTCCGAGTCTTCAGTGACTAGAGTTAACAGGACTGTTAACAAAGCAGAGACCCCCCCAGCCAAGGGGGTTCAGGTGTTTCACTGCGGACACAAACCCTTCCCTACCTTTGTTTTTTTCGTTTTCTTTCTTTTCTTCTCTCTCTTCCCTTCTTTTCCCTTTGTTTTCTTTTCTTTTTCTTTCTGTTTTTTAGGACAATGAGGCTTATGAATTGGGATCTGCTCCTCATAGAGCGCTCTTCACATTGACATCCCATTATGTATTGAGAACATCTCCCATGAACAATAGCATGCAAGTATAGAAAATGTTCCCAATGTACGGCTGAAACATGATGTGAGGTCGGTGTGAAGAGCACTCCGTGGTCCAGACTTGAGGTGTACACTTCTAAGATGCCCCATACAAAAGGGGGCATACACCCAAGCCTTTTAAAACATTGTTGAGGATAAAAGAATGGTATATGTATCCCAATGCGTCTTAACAGCTCTTTTGTTGTCCTAGCACATGCTAACCATGCTATTTTGGAATTCCTCTTTTGGATTTGAAATCCCCTTTCATCATCATCATCATCATACCCAAGATCGGATTCAGTGCTCACAAAACTGATTATACCATTTTTGCAGCCATTTACTGCTGTGCATTGGGAATATCTCCATACTTTATGCTATTTTTCATACGAGATATTCTCAATGCAAAACTGTAAGGGACTGTGTAAATGGCATGAGCATGGTCTTGTAAGGACCGTACTCACACCATGCTGGTAGCGAGCAGATTTGATTGTAAGACTCAATTTGGAAGGAATACAAATACAAATATGTACGACAATACATATAAAATAATATAAAATATAAGGTTTTATACTCCACAAATTTGTATTTGTACTCCTTCCAAACTGAACCAAAGTCTCCACTACGACAATCGACAAGCCAGTTGGTGAGATTCTGTAGTTGCTTTGGTGTTTATCAAGCATGAAGAAAAGAAATTTTGCAATAAGTTAGTCGACCCAGAAAAAAAAAGGGAATTCTGTCCTCATAAAGTCATTCAACTATAACCCTTAGAGAACCATCACGTCACGCCATATATCCTCCAAGATTTCGTTTCCTACAAATTAGGAAGTCTACTAAATCATGCTCCTACAACTTGGCTATTAAAACTAATAAAATCTCGTAAGTTGGGAAGCTAATTAGCCAATGCTTACTAAATTAAAAAAAAAAATCAATAATTAAATAATAAATAAAGAGAGATAGCAATTCGACGTTGATTTGGGTTCTTGTGTGACGTGGCATGGTCCCACTTCTCAGAACTTGCGGGCCACCTCTTGCACTGCGTCAGCGTCAATAGGGATTCGGTGAAGGGGTGGGGGGAAGAACAAGGATCTCTATCTTGGGCAAAAGCCAGAAATTTGATTTTAATATTCCTGATGAAAACTCAACCTCAAAAATCTGATGATAATTTACACATCCAAGAAGAAGGCATACATTTGAGTTCCAGAAATTGCAGAATTGAAGGAATTGATCAAATAAATAAATGATTAAAAGATAGTGATGGTGGTTTCTGAAATTACAGTCTATCAATGTGGGTCTTCATCTCCGGAAAAAAAAAAAAAAACTTTAGTAAAGATGGTGTGAGATATGGGCTTTGGTTTAGAGGATGAGCAAAAGCAGAAGATTCATATCCTCTTCTACAATGTCAAGTACAAGTTGACATGAGTCATCAATGCAACTCAAGCAGAAGCTGGGTCAGCGGCAGCAGTCTCAGCAGCTCTTTTCTTTGCAAAATACTCTTCAGCACGTGCTAGGTTTTTAGCCACTGATGGTTTAACCCATTTCTTTCGCCCAGGCAATACAGTAATAGAACAGTTAGCAGCTTCAAGCTTCTCCTTTGCTGATTGTGAGAAGGCACGAGCCTTTATGTTCAACTTCACATTCAATTCCCCATCCCCTAGAATCTGATATAAATACAAGGATCAGAAAGTATGTATAAAAAACATATAAATACAAATAGATCACTTTGTGTTCAGAAATGCGTTTTAATAAACTTATCTACATGAATATGGTTCTAATGTGAAAACTATCCAAGCTATCTCATTAGGCCTCTTAACTAATAGGAAATAAAACCATTGCAGGTAAATCTTGACCCTTCATTTTTTAGATTTTCCCTAAACTTCTCAACTATCCTGAGGTCCGTCCAAACTACATTAGTATCAATATTGTCTTGACTGCAACTTTATAGGATCACAGCAAAGATTTGAGAGATGGAACAGTGGCCTTTATGACATAATCTGGCAGACTGGAAAACGACTTCAACAAGAACAACAGTTTTCGAGTACTATTGACCCCTAGAACCAAAACTGCAGTCTATTCATTGCCTAATAATCTAAACAAATTAATAATACCTCCAGGAGCTACCTTCCTGAGGCCCAAAAATCCTTTTTTAAATTGTTTCCATCAGTCGTGTTAAGAATGAATATCAAACTGAACTTCTATGGGCAGGTTTTTGATGAACCATAATAAAAGTTTGTTTGCAACTAACTTGCATAAACATATAGTGTTTGTTTGGTTTGAAAGAAAAGATAGGGAAAAGAAGGGAAAGGTAAGGAAACCTGTATAAGGTTTGTACAGGTTTCCCTATCTTTCCCTTCCTTTCCCTACCTTTTATTTCAAACCAAACATAACCATAGTTCCTACTGGTTCAGGATACCTGGTGTGAGTGGAGGAAGAGGGTCAGTTTATCATGAAATCAGGGGCGCAGAAAACTAACCCATGGTGGAAGAGTAACACAATATTAGAGTAGTTAGTCACTGGCCTCTTTGACATGCAGAAGGTTGCATAAAAATTTGAACATTTAATGGTAATGAATACATGCAGATAGTAGACTAATCAACACCATCATGTTCTAACCAGACTGTCAGATGGTGGTACACACTTTATGGTGGCACTAGAATAATATCTGTATTTCCGTTTCTTTCTTATCAGTTGTTTTTTTCTTTTCGATCAAAAATATTATTCTTTGTAAAAGCTAAAGTTATATAAAAAAATTACAAAAATATACCAACTAGTTGGAGTATCTAGACATGCCAAAGTATCAAGTTTACCAAAATATCTATCTCATGTTTTGCCCATGTCAGTTCCAAGATATGTGAGTGTCCCAATTATATGATAAAGCAAAAAACATGCTGTACGATGAATTAGAAACATGAAGCAAATGATGGTCTTAAATAAAAGGTTTGACCTCCTTACCTCCTATGCATTGTAAAATAAATTAAAAGAAGTGATTCTCATCCTTACCTTTAAGGGAAGGGTTCGCTCTCTTCCAGAAGGGTTGATCAATCCCCTCTCCTTCAAGGACTCTAGTGAAACCTCATCCCCTTCTTGGAACCCAGCAGCTGCTATATCTCTCAAGTTCACAGGGACATACTTTGGCAGCCCAGCATGCATACCTTTTTCACAATTAGCAAACAAATCAGTGCATGGAATTCAAAAGAAAAGGATTTTCTTTTTTTTTTTTAAATAAACATTTCTTAGAATCTTTGCCAAGAATATGCATATCTAACAATGATGTGTGTTACATAATACCAAGAGATACAACATTGTAGTCATAAGTTACAATCATGAAGTAAAAACCTCTAAAGGCTATACAGTCTGCTAGTGACTATTATAAAGCTATATAGTCTCTCATCCCCGCCCCAAATAACAATTTGCTTTTTCACTTGTAATTCTTTCACTATCTGCTAGTGCATAAGGCTATAATTGGGTCAAATTGGTATTAATCTAGCCACATCCAAGTTTGATTCAATTAATAAACCCCTATACTAAAGTAGGGCCTAGCATCTGTTTGATCATATCTATCCAAGTCAGATTAACCATCTTTAAAAAATAGGGAAAATTGAAAAAAAAAAAAAAAACAAATAAATAAACTACATGACTCTTTGACTTGTGCACTTAAGATGTCTAATTCTTGCTCATATAAATACAGTTTGATATCCATTCTCAACATGAATTATGACAACCTATATCAGTATTGACAACCTTCACTCGGAATTTTCTAGAGCATAAAACCTTGTCCAAAAACCTTTATCAATGATCTTAGGAATAGAAACATAGTTATTAAGGCCCCGTTCGTTTTTCAGTAAGTTATTTACCCAGGTAAATGCAGTTACCTGGGTAAGTTTTTCCTGGGAAACACTTACCCGGGTAAGTGCATTTACCCATGTTCTTTTATTTTTCATGTAAATAAGGCAATGACCATTTTAGTCAAAAAATCCATTATTAAAAGGGGCATTTTTGTCCCATTCAAGTGTTGGCAACTTTCCCCCTAGGTGGGAAAGTTATTTACCCATCTAGGAGATGGGTATCACTTACCCGGGTAAGTGATACCCAGGAAAATAAACTTTCCTTAGTCTCCACATAAATCTGAAAAAAGAACACGGGATTCTTGGTCAATGGGAACCAAAATCCCATTGACCAACTTTCCCCCTCTCAAAATCCGAAAAAAGAATGCCCCCTAAAAGTTATGCTCTCTCTTCCAAATCCCTCATAAAATGCCTATAAGGAACATTTAACTACACCTGTTGCTAGARGATCCAATTTCCATTTGGCTATTAAGTCAAGAATATCCTCTTGGGGTACCCAATACCAAACAACAATAAATAAACATATGATTGGCTGATCCATGATTCTGATTTAATAAAGAGATGGTATTTTTTTCTCAATCAATAGCAATGTTGTTTCTCCTTTCGTTGGTTTGTTAAAGTAGTTGCATGATGTCCCTACCAAGCTTAACGTAAAGAACATTTCCACGACAGTATTAACAATGAAGTATGTTTGTCCTTCAAGGGGCCCATTTGGGAGGGCTGAAACATTGGTTGAGTCACTTTCATCATTGAGCTGCTTTGGAGATACCACTAAAAGAAATTTCATGTGAAAGCCATTTTTGGTTAAAATATAACTAATTTGGGCTTTCCATGTTTTTCACCAAATATTGCTTATAGGCTGTCCGGGTCGGGCACACCTCACAAAGCCAAAAGCCACCATATGGAAGCCCTCCCAAATGGATACCGAGTTATCCAATAACAATCATCAGCTATAGCGCAAAAGCTGTTGCAACCACCTGAAAGAGGTACCAATCAAGTTGAATTTGATGGCAGTAGTATGGGAATTCCAGGACCATCCAGAATGGGTGTTGTTTTCAGGGACATGGAGGAGCTAGGGCAACTTTTTTCAGGTCCAATAGGGGTTAGAGACACCATTAGAGCAGAACTGCTAGCTGTACTTCATGGTACTGGGCTGGCAAAGCAAATGAATATTACTAATTAGATCATTGAGGATGACTGAAGATTGTAGTCAGCTAGTTAATTCATGAAGAGATGGCTTTGTGTTTTTTGTTTGTTTTTTTTTTTTTTTTGATGACAAGAAATTTCATTAAGAAAAAGAAAAAGGGAATATGGCTTTGTGGACTTACAAACAAACTTAAGGAAAATAAATGGTTGACCATGAATCTTGAAATTAGAGTTTAGTGGGTGCCACGATAAGCCAACAATATGGCTGATACCTTGGATAAACAGCCTATCCTCAGGTTCTCTGTAAATTTGCTGTTTTTTTAATAAAGTTTCAGTTATCTATTAAAAAAAATCAGTTGTACTTCTTTTTAAGTTCAAGTTAAAATTTGTAACATGTTTATCCATAGCATCGCTCATACCCTGCCAAGCTTCCTGATAGAATCCAGCTAGCATCATTTGCAGCCCAAGCACATGCCCATACTCCTCAAGCACCTGTTCAGCACATAATGCCCAACCCACAACTCATAAGGTTTGTCTACAGAATGAGGCGACATCAACCAATTAGTTAAAAAGGGAATCTGGTTGTGATCAAGGTTAGACAGATCTGGATCTGATTGTTGTAAGATGATAATAAATACTTGGGCTGGGGAATGAGAACCAAGGATTTTCAAGCAGTAACTCTCTTCTTCTCTCACTCTCTCACTTTCTCTCTATAATTCTATAAGGAGGTTAAGTCACCAGTGACTTCTGTATTGAGCAACATCTCAATACTTTCCTTTATTTACCATTCTTCACATACCTTAATGTGATCCTGAATTCTAGTTTAAGGACAATATATATCCTAAATAATGAACAATCAGGTTACTTACACTAAACCCATTACCCAAAAAGGCTGCTTACACCAAATAATAGCAATATCCCCACTGTAACATCACACACGCTCATCTTATAATAAACTGGTAAGAGGTAGAATATTGAAAGGATGGGAAGAGAAAAGAAAGAAACATTCTTTTCATGAATCTAATCAGACCAAGTATCAAGAGATGGTAGAAATCTCTACGCCAATTACAAAATAACCATTTTTTTATTCATAAATTACAAAATAACCATTATCTAGTAAACGTATAATTTTCTTTCTCATTTCACACTCTTGAAGAAGGGAAAAAATGATTATCAACTGAAGCCTAACTGTGCTTAAATGGGGGATGAAACTTTGTACTTCGAATTTCATTCTCTTTCTAAAACACTTAAACTCCATATTACTTTATCATCAGCTGAGCCCTTTGTTGCTACATAGTGATGATGTCAAAGAAGGGCAAGGGCGACTCTTTCAAAATACACTGTACCAAATTCTGTAAATCCTCCGAAAGAAAAAAGAAAAACACCTATATGTCAAAACCAACTCGAAAACTTTTTTAAGCAAGGAAAGTAAAACATAATGTATGCATGCATGCATTTACGAAACTGATTTGGACACGGAAAGATGGTGAATTGGCCTCAAGGAATGGCATAACTATCTCATTAGCTAATAAAAGAAAGAAATGAATTTTAAAAGAGCTCAATCCATGCTAGTATACTGTTTTTCCGGGAACATTTTCTATACCAAGAATGGAAACCTTGAATTGTTTGATTCTACACCAACATTTCACTTCAAAAGTACTGAAAACTGTAAATAGAATCGTATTTGGAAAAAATAACATGATTAATCGGTTACCACGTTCCTTCTTCTTTTGAAGACATACATGTTAGTAATGAAACAAGGGAGTAATGAGATACCTCCAGCAATTCCTCTAAGTTTCGGGATACGGCGGTAAAGAGGCATCTGGCCACCCTCGAAACCTTTGCGAACACCGGGGCCGGACCTGGATTTCTGACCTCTCATCCCAAAACCACAACTGTTTCCTTGACCAGCTGAAATACCTCTCCCTTTCCTCTTGTTTCTCTTTCTGGAGCCGGGCTGGGGACCCAGATTATCAAGCCGAAATCGAACATCTGGACTTGGTGAAGCAGCAGTAGATGAAGAAGAAGAAGCTCGACTGAGAACAACAATTGGTCTTCCTTCTTTCCTCTTGAGTTGAAATTTGAGGGATGGAATTGGAGTTGAACTTGTTTTAAGACTATTAAGACTACTTGCATTGCCCTGCGAAGAAGAAAGAGATTGGATTTCAGAAAATGAAAAAGCTCGGCAATTAATTTGGGTAAAGGAGAGGGGTCGTTACCTTGAATGACGTAGAAGGGTAGTGAAATACTCTGCTTGGAGCAGGCGAAGAAAGCGAGAGAAAGGCTGCCATGATTACAGGGAACGGTGCCCGGAGTTCCCCAAACCAACACAAGTGAAGAAGAATAAAAAGCTCTCTCAGACTCGGTGGATAGAGAGGATAGGGATCAGTAGCGCTTTTTAACGTTACGCGGCACTCCATTATCAAACGCTATCCCGAAACTTGAAAGAACGATAACGAAATCGGGTTCGGTATCGGAAAGTAGAGTTATAACCGGATCGGATTTCATTGCATCCGCAATTGATCCGTTTATCAAACCTTTGGATCTGAAACCGGTCCAAGTATGTAACACTAATAATGGGGGCGTTCTTTTTTCTTTTTTTTTTTTGGATTTTGAGAGGGAGAAAAGTTGGTAAATAGGATTTTGATTTTTATTGACCAGGATTTATATTCTTTTATAAGATTTATGTGAGGACCAAGAAAAGTTTATTACTTACCCGAATAAATGACACCCATCTCCTAAGTAGGTAAATAGCTTTCTCACTTGGGGTAAAGTTGCCAAGACTTAAATGGGAGAAAAATATCTCTTTTAATAATAGATTTTTATGGTTAAAATGGTCATTACCTTATTTACTTAGGAAATAAAAGAACATGACTAAATGTACTTACCTGAATAAGTCTTTCTTAGAAAACATTACCTGAGTAAATAACTTAGACCTAAATAGTGTATAAACTCAACCTTCATTAAATGAAATTCATGCATGTGAATATTGGCACGTATAAATACTTTTAGAATCCAATATAATGACCAGAAAAATCTATGATGTCAGAAAAAGAATTTGGACATAATACTGGAGAGGCTTTGACCAATGAAAATTAAAAAATAAAAACCACCAAACCTGTGGTTGATTCGAGCCTGGATGTACGTGTATAAAGTATAAACCTATGTAACTATTACAAATGAAGTGTTGTGTATAAATTAGGAATTCAGATATGCTGATCACAACATAATGATACATCGTGGCCACATTCACCCCGTCATACGTTTGGAACATTGGTTGTAGTTTTATCACAGGAAAATTTATAATGCAGAAAAGATATAGACATATGGTATGGGAAGAGTTTTAATCAATCAAAACCCACCCATAAATTTTGATAAATAACACCTGATTAGCTACAACATTTATGATTCCAATTGACTGGTCATAAGTTTTTTGGATGTCATCTTTTCCATATCATAGTCGAACCCTTATATCACCGATATTATTGACTTGCAACTGGATGAACGTGTGGTCACAGATCTAGACTCACACATAAGTGTAAGCTATATATGCACAGAATTAAATAATATTTTTAAAGGAAAAATCTATATCCGAAACTCATGGTACCACAAGATTGACCAATCAAATACCACGTAATTGGTCACCTATTTTACGATACCAGTTGTAAATTTATCCGGTATCATAGTCAAACCCTTCTTTGAATGATTACATGATAATTGATATAGGTAATTAAGGACTGTAGGGCCATGTATGAATATTCTAATCAAATACTAATGAAATATACTCTTTTGTATAAAAGGGATCACTCCAAGTGCCACCAACATCCCATCTCTTCCTGAAATCAGCTTAAAATGATAATGATGATTAAGGCCTTATTTGGTAATGTATCCCTCGTTTTCATCTTGAAATTTTGATACAAATATACTCTTCAGTATAAACTCCCAAGCACAATTGTTTATTTCTTTTTATTAGGCACCATATAGGATAAAACACCTTTGGGAAAAAGAAACATGAAAAATCTGTTTTCACCAAAAACAAATTTTACAAAAAAACCAATGTAACATAGCTGCAACTACCTTCTACTTGAATCAATCAACCAAATAAGAAATTACTTAAAATGCTTACATGGTGCTCACATGGCAATAACGGCCATGATACCAAACACCAACCAGGTAACTTAAGTTCAAAATTGGAATACCAGGATGCATCGACAGGTTTTGGCCATTCCTCCTACACCATGCATCAATAATCAGTTGATATAGAAACCAATATGATTTGTCCGTATTAGATGTATCATACCCTACTGGTATTTAAAACCTTGGTAACGATTACTAATCACCTCTCACACCAAAAAACAATAAAAGGATTACTGATAACCTCTTCCCGAACTAAATTCCACACTACTGGTTCATTTGCATGGTCAATATATATTTCCGTTGTCATGGATTAGGCTACAAATCAGGGTAATGCCCGAAGATGACAAACCTTGATTAGTGATGCATAGCCTAATCTTTATTCACCCTTGAAATCACAGTATAAGCACTAGTAGTTGACCTGTATGCTTGCTTTTGTATAATCTCTTTCAGATAGTTACAAGTATGTTGTATATATTCTCCTCTCATGTACACTTATTCCCCAAATTATGCACACAAGTTCACACATCAAATAGCACAATTGCCATAAATTTCACATATACATAACTACACTTACTGCTAAAACTAACAAGCTATGCATATAATAATTTCAAAATTTCACATTTTGATGAAGGAAATACATCTAGTGCAGTTACAGTCGTACCATCTCAAAGATTGGGACATACTACATACAAAAAGGTCAAGATAGCTTTGCGATGCAATTGCCATCGGGCATCAGTCCATTGACATTGTAATAATGCCATCTTGAACATGGGTTTTGTAGCCGACTAGGCTTTACACAACCAAGAATCAATCACCCAGAAGACAAAGAGGCTGGCGCATGCTAAGTTCAGCTTTTAGTTTTGGGAATTGCTCCAGATCATGAGAAATAGTCAAGATTTTCTGCATATTGCAAAATCATTTCATATCAGTTATACGCAACATTCTAAACCTCTCATTAGAAATAAAAAGGAAAAATTGCAATCTACCAGAAAAGCAATCTAGATAATATCCTGTTCTATAATAGATAGAGCATATTTCCCACTGAAAAGACAAATAGAATATAAACTAAAGGGGGACATTGTCTCTACATTTATATTTCAAGTGCTTAGTATGTCATCTTACATCAAATTCCATCTGTCCTAACTTCTTCTTCCACCTAAAATTCCAAATGTTGTCATGGAAACAAAGATCACCATAAAAATATCTTTAGAGGGGCTAGAACACTTTTCATTTTCTACTAATTTATTTTTTTTAGAAAAGCAACAAAACCATGGAAGGTGTCTTCTTCCTTATAGGGCAATGTGTTAGTTGGAGTAAATCACTCTGAAATGCCTCTCCCCCAAATAAAGAAAAAGGGACCATGGAAGGTGTTTTCTTGCTTATAGGACAATGTGCTAGTTGGAGTAAGCCACCCATTAAAATCTAAGCTTGAGCTTTTCTTTTGGGAAAAGTGAACTCCAACAACTAACATCTGATGGTTACTTACCTGCAATGCCCTTCCCCCAAATAAAAAAACAAGGAAGACCATGGAACAAGTTTTCTTGTTTATAGGACTGTTAGTTGGATTAATCTACGCCTGAAAACCTAAGCCATAGATTTTTTTATTCTGGGAAAAAGTAAATTCCAACAAAGCATCTATAGATCACAAACATCTGATGCTTACCCATAATGCCCCTCCTGCAAATAAAAAAAAAAGAAAAGAAAAGAAAAAAAAAAGCTTTTCAAAGATCTAGAATGACTTAATTAGCCAGAGGTCAGCTGGCTAACTATCCAATGATTAGATAAGAAAAAGAGATTACCACTACTGGGACCACAGCGCTTTCTCTTCTTTCTTCATCACATTCACTTTTCAAATTTCACAAATCTAGTTTCCCATATATATCAAGTAGTTTGTTTCTTATTTTATCATCATTTGAGTAAGGCAAAAATTTGTTGACAGTAGCAAGCATGATGCTTGTTAGAGGGATCATAGAAGTTCTGACAAGGTTCGAAGTATTGGAAACGCCAAGTGTATCGAAAAGGCAATTTTAAGAGACGTATCGGGATATGCCTTGGATACGCATGCATATCGGAGAAACATTAAGATACGCATGAAAACACTAAATACTTCAATAAATCATAAAAATACATCAATAACACTAAATATAAGACCTCAATGAGGTAAACATGACTTCTTGAAAGGAAAAGGACCACTCCTAGGTAAAAACCTTACAATAACACGATAAACTCGTTTTATATGTAATTTTTTTGGAAAAAAGGACCCCTCCTTAATAATAACCTTAAGGAATCGGGGTAACATGTAAACATGACTTATTTTGTGGAAAATGATACATCTTGTGTAAAAAATATAACAAATCAGGGTAAACTCATTAAAACTGCTATTTTGGGATAAAATATACCCCTCGTTGTTAAAACTTTAAAGAATCAAGGTCAACCTGTAAAAAAGACTTCTTTTTGGTAAAACGACCCCTACTAGATAAAAACTTTGCGAAATCAGGGCAAATTCATGAAAAATATTATTATTTGGGAAAAATGAACCCACCTTAGTAAAAACATTAAGGAATCACGGTAAACATGTAAAAATGACATATTTTAGGAAAAACGATCCTTCCTACGTAAAAATCTTAAGAAATCAGGGAAAAGTCACGAAAACTCCCATTTTTAGAAAAAAAATGACAGGTCATTGTTAAAACTTTAAGGAATGAGGGTCATCTCTTAAAATTGACGTCTTTTTGAGAAAACGACCCCTCCTAGGTAAAAAATTTACGAAATCTTAGTAAACTCGTGAAAACAACTATTTTTGGATAAAATATAGACCCCTCCTACGTAAAAATCTTATGAAATCAGGGAAAAGTCGCGAGAACTCCCATTTTTAGAAAAAAAATGACAGCTCATTGTTAAAACTTTAAGGAATCAGGGTCATCTCTTAAAATTGACGTCTTATTGGGAAAACGACCCCTCCTAGGTAAAAAACTTACGAAATCTCAGTAAACTCGTGAAAACAACTATTTTTGGATAAAATAACCACTCATTGGTAAGTCTTTAAGGAATCAGCACAAACCTGTATAAATTACATCTTTTTGGAAAAACGATCCCTCCAAGGTAAAAACCTTACGAAATTCGGGTAAAATCGAGAAAAATATTATTTTTTGAAAAAATGTCCTCCCATTCGTAAATCTTTAAGGAATTAGGGAAATTTTGTAAAAATGACTTATTTTTGGAAAAAGGACTGCTCCTAGCTAAAAACCTTACCAAATCTAGGAAAACTCATTAAAAATATTATTTTGTGGAAAACAAGTCCCCTCCATGGTAATAACCTTAAGGAATTAGGGTAATTATGTATAAATGACTTGTTTTAGGGAAAATGATCCCTCTTAAGTTAAAAAACTTACGAAGTCCCGGTAAACTCGTGAAAACTGCTCTTTTTGGAAAAAATGACGACTCGTTGGTAAATCTTTAAGGAATCTGGGTAAAATTATAAAAATGACTTCTTTTGCGAAAACGACCCCTCCTAGGTAAAAACCTTATGAAATCAGGCTAACTTTTGAAAAATAATATTTTTTGGAAAAAAAATGACCCATCCTTGGTAAAAACATAAAGTAAATAGGGCAAACAAGTAAAATGGACATCTTCTGGGAAAACCACCCCTTGTAGGTAAAAAAATAATGAAACCAGTGTAAAGTAGTGCAAACTACTATTTTTGGAGAAAATGACCTCTCACTGTTAAACTTTAAGAAATATGGGTAAACTTCTAAAAATGACTTCTTTTTGGGAAAACGACCCCTACCTAAGAACCTTTCCAAATTAGGGTAAACTCGTGAAAAATATTGCTTTTTTGAAACAACAAAGTCTTCCTTCGTACAAACCATAAGGAATTAGGGCAAACTTGTAAAAGTGAAATCTTTTTAGGAAATTAACCCCTCTTGTCTAAAAGACATACAAAATCACGATAAACTTATAAAATCTGCTATTTTTGGAAACAATGACCACTCGTTGTTAAAACATTAAGGAATTAAGGTCAACTTGTAAAAATGGTTTCTTTTTGGGAAAATGACCCCTCCTTGGTAAAAAGAATTTACGAATAATGGGTAAATTCATGAAAACTACTATTTTTGAAAATCTTATGAAATCAGGGAAAAGTCGCGGTAAACTCGTGAAAACTGCTCTTTTTGGAAAAAATGACGACTCCTTGGTAAATCTTTAAGGAATCTGGGTAAAATTATAAAAATGAATTCTTTTGCGAAAACGACCCCTCCTAGGTAAAAACCTTATGAAATCAGGCTAACTTTTGAAAAATAATAGTTTTTGGAAAAAAAAAATGACCCGTCCTTGGTAAAAACATAAAGTAAATAGGGCAAAAATGGACATCTTCTGGGGAAAACGACCCCTCGTAGGTAAAAAAATAATGAAACCAGTGTAAAGTAGTGCAAACTACTATTTTTGGAGAAAATGACCTCTCACTGTTAAACTTTAAGAAATATGGGTAAACTTCTAAAAATGACTTCTTTTTGGGAAAACGACCCCTAGCTAAAAACCTTTCCAAATTAGGGTAAACTCGTGAAAAATATTGCTTTTTTGAAACAACAAAGTCTTCCTTCATACAAACCATAAGGAATTAGGGCAAACTTGTAAAAGTGAAATTTTTTTAGGAAATTAACCCCTCTTGTCTAAAAAACTTACAAAATCACGGTAAACTTATAAAATCTGCTATTTTTGGAAACAATGACCACTCGTTAAAATATTAAAATTCTTAAGTTTTATGGGATGGGAAAAACCCAACTCCCCTATCCAACCATAAACATGCACTAGCACAACTTCGAAGTGAAAATATAATTAATAATTATTTATTATTTAAATAATTATTATTTGATTTTTATTTTCAAAAATTATAAATAAATAAATAAACATTATACAATATATTAAAACAATAGTTATCAAAGAAGAAATTTCAATTGCTTTGTGGATATGATAGATCATCCGTAGAATTATAATATATTCAATCATTGTGATCAAATGATAAAATATAGTTAGTCATTATTTATTTTTAATTCTAAAAATATAAAAATAAAAAAAAAATAATTATTAAAGAAAAATTTTCAATTGCTTTGTGGATATGATAGATCATCCATAGAATTATAATATATTCAATCATTGTGATCAAATGATAAACTATAATTAATTATTATAAATATATAAAAAATAAAAAATAAAATTAAAGAAGAAATTTCAATTGCTCTATGGATATGATAGATAAATCCATAGATTTAAAACATATTAAGTCTTTATAGGTAGAGAAAAAAATTACATTTTCAAATTTTTGGTTAATTTATATTTTCCCCAAATATCTTCATGAAATTTCCATAGATCTACTCATAACACAAAAAAAAAAATTGTGATTTTGAATATAAAAATGTAGATCAACATAGATTTAAACATTCAAGAAAAAATAAGAAATCACAAGATATTAAAAAAATTTGAAAAAACCTACATATTTTTGCCATGTTTTTTCAAAATTTGAAATATCTTAAAAAAAAAAATTAACAATTCACACTTGCTTCTTGCAAATTTTGGTATATCTAGCACTCTAGGAATGAGACTTGGAGTTTTAAAGTCATTTGGGGATGAAAGAAGGCTTGTTTCAGGGGAAAGAAGCTTCTTTCCCCCTTACTTTTTTTTTTCAATTTTTGGCCATATCTTTTTCGTAGCATATCGGTTGATATGCCCCCGATATGGTGGAAAAAAAGACGATACCGCCGATTTTCCACCGTATCTCATATTGGACTTTTAAAGATACAATACGATGCGCCGCGTATCAGGCGTATCGTATCGAAATTTGAAACCTTGAGTTCTGATGCAAGATCCCTAAATTGCCATGTGGTGTGTTCTTATAAATATAGAAAGTAGAGTTTATTCTTTTGATTTACATGTGATCTTTTCTAGCTCTTCTAAAAGAATTGAGTATGATTACATCCCATATTCCCATTTATCAATTTGAGTTTCTGGTTAAAGCAATGGTGTCCAACTCCTAAACTTAAGGCTTACTTAAGGTATCATGCTGAGAGGTGATACACTTCAATGATTAAACTATATATGATACTTCTGCAGATGTAAATATGTAATAATCTATCCTAGACGGGCTAGTGGTGAGATAAACCACCTCCTTGTTGACTATAGATTTGCTTCTGACCTATGAAAATACTTGGGTACCTCTTCTACTCTAATTCCATCTCCTTCTATCAAGCCACCCCCTTGTGGTCAACTGGGTATTGATGAGGGAGGGATCAGATAATTTCTGGGTTGATGGCATAGTTAGAGCTTGGCATGTTGTGAACAGATCATCATGTCAGAGGAAATAACACCCCTCCCCCCCAAATCCCGGAAAAAAAGAGAGATTATTGTTCCATTCCAATGTCTCAGGTTGATGTTGATTTTTATTTGGACGGGGACTCTTCCGGGGGGATGAAAGCTTATTGTATGACAGTTTTATTAGGATGCTATATCTGGCTTGCTTCTGAATTTTCTTTTGTCTGCCCCTCCCTCGGGTTAGACGATTCTACCCTTTCTTCTCATTTTAGTGAATTTTTTTATTCCCTGTTATGGATCAAAAGAAATTTGACTGTGACACTTGTCATGGCACTATAGTAGGTGTTATTCTGGCATTATGTCACAATATGGTGAGCCAATTCCAACCAAGGCACTTTCCCTAACCATGTAAAGGGTCAATCAACAGAAGTTCCCTATTGAAATTGAAATTAAAAAAGAAAAACAAAACAAAGAAGACAATGATGAAAGTATTTAATAATACAAACAAAAACTTTGAAAAATGTGGTCTTTTAAGCAAACAAACTAGTGCTTGTATATTGAATTTGTATACAAACTGTTCTTTCTTCTATTTAGTAGTAACCATGTTAATATTCCATAATTCTTTTATTCTATTATTGTTTGTTCCATCTTCAGAAGAAAATGTTGGTTACTGAAGTGAGAAGTGATGAAGACCAAAAGAATCATAAGAGAACAAAGAGAAAAGTAGGTCTGAAAATCAAACCTCCTGGGGAGAAAATCGCAATTACCATAAAGAAAACTACAAGTCGAGAAAATTATTGACAGAGATCCATGCTGAAGATGGTTCTCAAGAGTAAACAAAATTAACTGTATATAATGAATTTATATATACGTATTAAAAGCAGAGTTGTTTGGAGGAGAAAGATTTACCAATGCAGCAAGATGTGCGTCTTGTAGAATATTGCCATCAACCTCCAATCTTGCAACAGGAAATTCTGGGAGGTGTCCCGACTGTTTCTTACCAAGCAAGTCACCTGGTCCACGATGAAGGAGGTCCACATTTGCCAGGTAAAAACCATCAGATGACTTCTCCAGCACTTTCAACCGGTTTAGACCACTTGCAGTGGAAGACAAGAAAATACATCTGGACTTCCTTGCCCCACGTCCAACTCGTCCTCTCAGTTGGTGTAGCTGAGCTATTCCAAACCTTTCAGCATTCATGATTACAATCATGGATGCATCAGGAACATCTACTCCAATTTCAATCACCTGAGTTGAAAGAAGTATACGTGTTTCTCCTGATCGAAACCGTCGTAGTGCTTCATCTTTCTCATCAATTTTCATTCTTCCATGCAACAGTCCGCAATTGTATCCCTTAAATTTGCAAGCTATGGTCTCAAGATCTGAAGAAGCAGCACGAAGCTGGGGCAGCTGCTCAGATTCATCAATGATAGGATACACAAGATAAACCTTCCCACCTTTCTGTAACTCATCCTGCATCATCTGTAGGATGAAAAAAAAAAAGCCTTAACTACCAGATGAAATCAGTGAACAGAAATCTACAGAAAATTTAACTTGCAACTGCCAATCTTGAGATGTTCTGAAATTCAGCAACATTGAACAAATCCAAGAAATTCATATCTAGCAGATGAGCAGACTAACTAAAGCTCACCTTATGACATGCCGGTAAATAAAATCCTTAAATTTTTATGTTGAAACTCAAATACAAAAATGAACTTTGGAATACCATTTGTATCCCTAGCTATACCCATGTCAGACACTTCAAAATTTTATGTAAGTTCCAATGTTGGATCTGTGCACCCATATGCATGCATATAAAACAATATTAGTGCATTATATAACTAAAGATGAGAGATCATCCATGCATCCATTCTTTTCTGTTGAATTGAGTATAGACAGTCTTTGAGTTTTATAAATGATTTTGCTGAAATCCAATTGCTATTATTGGGCCAGTTGATGGTTCATTCTGAGTTTAAAGATATGGACTTCTTTTGGTTCTAATCTGTTGTTGACACTAGATCTTGTCGTTTATCATGTTTGGTAATCCATTTATATTGTACTCCTTGGAGACTCCATGCTACTGAGGTCTTCTTGACAACAACTCAATCAAAAGATCTAAAGTGATGAAGAAAATCCATATCAAGTGACTACACGCATGCTCTTTCTGAAATATTCTGTAGATAATCTAGAAAGAATGAAAGAAGGGCCTTTACCTGGTAAACATTTTCAAATCCATTCTCATTCCCTTCAAAAGTGCATGTCTCAACCGGTATTCTTCCAGGAGGTACATCAGTTATCTATCATTAAAAGAAAAACAAGAGCATCTTTTTAATCCATCAGAAAGCAGGCATGGCCACATGCCCCCGTGAAAAGCAGGATAACTATACTACATTATATTTATTGTTTAGGTTTAGAATATGAAGGCTAATCAGGGCACATCCATTGTGAAAAGACAAAAGGTACCCCCATTAAGGTACATAGGTGTATAGTGGCGCTTCTGTCTTTTCAAAAAAAAATCAATGAAAAGCTATCTACTAGAGTTATTCCTGGTTTATCAAAGATGGGATGTTCCCTACGGACCACCTAGAGAATATTTTGTGAAATCATTTAATTGGCTGCATAGACTAGTTAGCTCAAGGAACAACTCTGATATAAACAACATGGGTAATAATTGAAAACATTTTTACTGGAAAGTATGAGGAAGCACTTTACATACTTGGGTTAGAGACATATCCCCATATAAAGCCAAAGCAAGTGTCCTTGGGATAGGAGTGGCAGTCAATGCAAGAACATGAGGTGCCATATATGCATCATTAGTAGAGGACCCATCTGTGTTTGCAGCACCTGCTCTCAAACTTGCACAAGCTGAATACAACTGCAGTATTCAAGAACCTTGTTCACATTTACTGGTACAGAAAAACAAAAGAAATATGCTACAAAACCAGGAAGGAAAAAAAATAGATATTGCAGAATCTATGCAAGAATATATCAGTAAAGCATTACAGGTGAAACAACCAATTAGTAGAGATGCCTGCATAGAAATTGCTCGTCTTCAAATAAATTCTTTTAGTATTGCTGAAATTAGAAGCTTGTTAGTTACTGTCTCCTACAGACAAATCTTGCATACTTTAGAAACTCGTATACTTGAACAGATGTAAACAAATAGCATTAGAATTCTTCATTTCTTCATATCCAAGATGAAGATAAAGTCGAGTTGTCATCTCAAATGCTGAAACATTGCCATTATCTTCTTACAAAAAGTAGAAAGCTTGCTGAATTAAAAAATATGAAATAAAAGGAGTTTCTTGAAGAAAGAAGGAAGAGAGAAGGAGAAGAAGAGAAGAAGAGAAGTTGAAAAGAAAGGAGAGCAATAATCTGGCCGCCCCCTTCACTTATTATTTATACTAAAAATAATAGAGCAGTACAAAGACAACTATGCCCTTATAGGGCGGCAAGAAATAAANAATAGAGCAGTACAAAGACAACTATGCCCTTATAGGGCGGCAAGAAATAAAACAACATATATAAGACACAAAAACATAATAAAATTTGGACTCACATAACTAATGTGGTCCCCACCTCCTATCTAACAACTAACATAAAACATCTACTCATAAAAAACATCATAAAACTAATTAATCTTCAATACTCCCCCTCAAGTTGGGAGTAAATGTCACACATTCTCAACTTGCGTAGATCATGTTCAAGCTTGTTCTTTGCCACCCCTTTAGTGAGAACATCAGCCAGTTGCAACTTTGAAGAGACATAAGGCAAACAAACTTCTCCGGTTGTTACCCTTTCTCTTATAAAGTTCAATGTGTTTTGTCCTATCATGCTAAATTGGATTGTGGACAATATTGATTGCCCTGATTGTCACAGTATAACATCATAGGTTCCTCTGCTTTCACCCCAATCTCACTCAAGAGAGATCTAACCCAAAGAAGTTCTGAGACACCATGAGCCATGGATCTATATTCAGCCTCTGCACTTGAACTTGCCACAACCGCTTGCTTCTTACTCTTCCAGGAGATCAAGTTTCCACCTACAAAGGTACATGCTCCTGATGTAGACCTCTTGTCATCTAAGCATCCTGCCCAGTCTACATCTGTATAGGACTCTAGCTTCAGATTCTCATGATTTGAGAAAATAATGCCTCTGCCAGGGTGCTTCTTCAGATATGCAAGTATCCTCTCAATAGCTTCCCAGTGCTGAACCCGAGGTGCATGCATGTACTGACTCACAACACTGACAACATAAGAAATATATGGTCGTGTCATACACAAATACAACAGTCAGCCCACCATTCTTTGATATCTCCCTGCATCCTTTACCAACTCACCATCCACACCATTAATTCTGTGATTTGGATCAATAGGAGTGTCTACTGGTTTGGTCCCCAGCTTCCCAGTCTCCCACAATAGGTCAAGTACATACTTCCTCTGTGAAATGAAGATCCCATGCTTGGATCTTGCAACTTCAATCCCCAAGAAGTATTTGAGCTCACCAAGATCATTGATCTCAAATTCTTGCTACAATGGTTTTTTGAGATCATCAGTCTCCTCCAAATCATTTCCTGTCACCACTATATCATCCACATACACAATCAGAATTGACACCAGAGCTCCTCTTCACAAAGAGAGTGTGATCAAACTGTGCCTGTGTGTATCCAAAACGGATGAGTGCCCCTTGGAACCTGTCAAACCAAGCCCTAGGTGACTGTTTCAGTCCATACAGAGATTTTCTGAGACTGCACACCTTTCCCTTACCAACATTCTCATAAAAGCCTGTTGGAATGTCCATATATACCTCCTCCTGTAAATCACCATTAAGGAAGGCATTTTTGACATCAAGCTAGAACAAAGGCGAAGAATAGGTGGCTGCTAGAGATAAAAGGACACGAACTGAACTCATCTTAGCTACTGGTGCAAAGGTTTCCAAATAATCAACACCATAGGTTTGAGTATACCCTTTTGCTACCAGCCTTGCCTTGTATCTCTCTATCTTGCCATCAACCCTAAACTTCACTGTGAATACCCATCTACATCCAATTGTCTACTTGTCTAGGGGGAGATCAACTATTTCCCAAATTTGGTTTTTAACCAAAGCATCCATCTCATCTTGCATGGTTGTTTTCCACTCAGGTTTGGAGAGAGCCTCAGTAACATTCCTGGGTATAGACACAAAATCCAAGGAAGAAAGAAAAGCAAGGTAGGCGGGTGATAAGGCACTATAGGAAAGATGGTGTGAAATGCAATGGGCTGTACACTTTCTCTTCCCCTTACGAAGTGCAATGGGAAGATCAAGGTCAGTGGGATCAGCTGCAACAATGGTATTAGGGACAGGAACATTATCACCAGAAAACATAACAGGCTCAGGCTCAAGAGGAATACCTAGAACTGTATCTGCCGAATCTAGAGTCAACCATCATCTACAGGCACTGATATTTCTGTGAGGCTGCTCGTAGTGGCTCAGGTAATGAACTGGAGGTGCAAGTGCTGGCTAAATTGATGAAGGCACCAAAGAAACAGGAAGAGGAACAGATTGTGAGTTCTGGCTGAACTGATGAAGGCACCAAAGAAACAGGATGAGAAACAGATTGTGAGTTCTCCTCCCCAAAACTCTCCCCCTAAGGAGAACCACTCGAGAAGAATGTGGATTCAAAGAAAGTAACATCTATTGTGACAAATCTGCTCCTCAACACTGGGTCATAACAACAATACCCCTTTTGGTTTTGAGCATACCCAAGAAAAACACATTTCTTGGCCTTAGGATACAATTTCTTGTGATGAGGGCCAAGAACGTGAACAAAGGAAACACACCCAAAAGCCCTCAGGGGTATATGAAATATCTCCCCATCTGGAAAAAGCAGACTAAATGGCACTTTAAACCCCAATGTCCGTGAAGGAACACGGTTAATCAAATGCACGACTGTAAGAACTGCACAAGAACTGAAGCACACACCATAAGACTCCTTGCCACCTCCACAATGTCTTTTTTCTCGCAACAACTCCACTCTGTTGTGGTGTATATGCACAACTGCTCTGATGAATTACCCCATGTTCTAGGAGATACGTGGTCAGGTCCTTCTCAAAGTACTCTCTGGCATTATCTGGTCTAAAAACCTTAGTTCTCGCTCCAAATTGTGTGAGAACCATCTGATGGAACTGTCGTATCAAGTTAGAAACCTCATCACGTGAGCTCATCAAATATATCCAAGAATATCGTGTATAATCATCCACAAACAAGAGAAAGTAACGGAATCCCCCCATGGAAGGGATATGATATGACCCCCATACATCAGTGTGAACAATATTAAAAGCAAAAGTACTTTTATTACTTGGTTTAAAAGACTGTCTACAATGCTTTCCTAACTGACAACTCACATACTCCAAAGTAGATAACTGAACAGACTCCAACAACTTTGGGAAAAGACATTTTAAAGAAATAAAAGAAAGGTGTCCCAAGCGATTGAGCCAGAGCATAATCCGGTTCACCAATTCTAACCCACTACTACTGTTGTTGCTAACATGATGGCCCTGATGTCTCAGAATCTCATCCAGAAGGTAGACTCCATTCACCTCACGACCACTCCCAATCATCTTTCTTGGCAATAAATCCAATTGAAATATGAGGAAGTAGAGAAGAGAAGGAAAGAAGAGAGAAAAGAAGAAAGGAAGAAAAAAAGGTTTGGAGCAATGGAACAGTGCTGGCGGCGCTAGCTTCCATTATATTATATAGGGCAGCAGAAATAAGAAGGGAAAAAGACTCTTATGCCCCTGCTGTAAGTGAGTACAATAACAGAAATAACAGAAAATAAAAAATGCTTTAACTAGCCAAACAAACCCTAACACAAATAACTAAATTATTTCAACACTCCCCCTCAAGTTGGAGCATAGATGTCAATCATGCCCAACTTGTCACACAAATCATTGTGCCACACATGATGAAGACCTTTGGTGAAGATATCTG